TGGCCTGGGGCAGGGATCCCTGCAGGGAAAGGGGCAGGAATCCCTGCAGAGAATGGCCTGGGGCAGGAATCCCTGCAGGGAAAGGGGGCAGGAGCTGCAGGGAATGCACAGGGGCAGGGATCCCTGCAGGGAAAGGGGGCAGGAATTCCTGCAGGGAAAGGGGGCAGGAATCCCTGCAGGGAATGCACAGGGGCAGGGATCCCTGCAGGGAATGGCCTGGGGCAGGGATCCCTGCAGGGAAAGGGGGCAGGAATCCCTGCAGGGAATGGCCTGGGGCAGGAATTCCTGCAGGGAAAGGGGGCAGGAGCTGCAGGGAATGCACAGGGGCAGGGATCCCTGCAGGGAATGGCCTGGGGCAGGAATCCCTGCAGGGAATGCACAGGAGCAGGAGCTGCAGGGAATGCACAGGGGCAGGGATCCCTGCAGGGAATGGCCTGGGGCAGGAATTCCCACAAGGAAAGGGGGCAGGCACTGCAGGGAATGCCCAGGGGGCTGCAGGTGGCCCTGCTGGGGACAAGCAGAGCCCTTCATCCCCCCACAGGCTGGGCTGGGAGAGCTCTCCAGCCTCGGTGACCCTGGGGCTGATCAGAGAAGGAATTCACCGGTGGCTGAGCAGGGGTGAAGCCCAAAGCAGCATTTCTTGGTCTGGAAATGTGCAACTCAGGGTGCAAACCGTGGGAAACTTAAGGAAGGAAAAAAGCACCCCTAGAGCTTGAAGAATTCCCCTTGGTGTTTGAGAGAAACTCACTTTTAAGCTGAGCTGGCAGCTGGCAGCATCAATCTCTGTGCTAGGAGGGCTCAGTCCTGGTTTTGATGCATTTCTTTAATATCTCTCAGACATTCAAAACCACTCTTACGTCACCAGGAATTTCTTTTGTATCACATTATTTAATAAAAACCTGCTGAAGGCATCAGTGCCCACTGCAGCTCTGTATCACCATCATCATCATCATCATCATCATCAGTGCTTCTCATTTTTCAAAGCAGATTAGCATTCCTGATTTAACTAAGCTTTTAAATACTGTTTTGCATATTATCTACATCCAACGCTGAGCTGGGGATGTACAAAGAGACATTTTGATCTCTTCTACAGGAACCAGAAAACCACGGAGTGCCTCATTTTTGAGTACACATTTTGTGGCAGGGGGATGTGTGTGGGTTTTACACACACTCCATCACAACCCGTGGGGTTTTACTTCATTTTTATTTCAAATAAAAATCAAATCTACGCTATTACAACATATTCCACTTGACAAAATTAAACTAGAACGGGATTTTGTATTGAAATTAGCCATGTTTAAAATATAAACACAAACTTTTCACTTCACGTGGTTTTCAGGAACTCAACAAAAGCCATGCAGAACTTTGGACAACACCTAAAAATACACAAGCAAAGGGTGATGAAAATTTGCACAGTGTCTCCAAACATCACCATTAAGCTGGGTTTAATTCCCTGGGTTTGTTCCAGGGCAGGTGGGGCTGGGGGACAGCACCCACTGGCAGCTTTTTGGGGTTTGGGGAGGGTCTTTTATTTCCAAGGTAAGACTGCAAGGCCCATCAGAGGGAGCTCAAACACAGCTCTGGCTGAAAGCCCTCAGAATTAAGTCACTTTAAGTGAATATTAAAATTTAAAAAAAGCAATCCTGGAAACTTGAAAAAATCTCCAACAAGAACAGCCCTTAAAATGCAGGTCACAAACTGTCTTTAAAAATCTTACATTTTTTAGCATTTCAATAGTCACATCTTGAAGGGCTCAGCAGTATCTGCACGTTAATTTTTTGGTTAATTACAATTTGAAAGGGCAGCAACAACCTTGGGTGAGTAAATAGCTGCATCAAAGCATCCCTGGGCTGAGAAACTGAGAGAAGCCCTGGTAAACAAGCCCAGAAATCAGTGCAGTCCTGAAATTCCAAAAAAAATTAAAAAAAAAAAGGGAAGGAGGAGAGCCACAAACAAAAAACAGGAGTCAATGTCAGAGAGAAAAAAACTCCCAACTCCCCCTCTGCTGTGCTCACCCACTTTGTTCCTGTGGGACTGGCAGAAAGCTCTGAGTTCTGAGCACCAGGGTCCCACTCACAGACAATTCAACAGCTCCAGGTCCCACTCACAGACAATTCAACAGCTCCAGGTCCCACTCACAGACAATTCAACAGCTCCAGGTCCCACTCACAGACAATTCAACAGCTCCAGGTCCCACTCACAGACAATTCAACAGCTCCAGGTCCCACTCACAGACAATTCAACAGCTCCAGGTCCCACTCACAGACAATTCAACAGCTCCAGGTCCCACTCACAGACAATTCAACAGCTCCAGAGCTGCCATGGCCCAGCCACCCCCGCTGTGCTGGGGCTGCACTCACTGCCAGGGCTGCACTGCACTCACTGCCAGGGCTGGGGCTGCAGGCACTGCCAGGGCTGCACTGCACTCACTGCCAGGGCTGCACTGCACTCACTGCCAGGGCTGGAGCTGCACTCACTGCCAGGGCTGCACTGCACTCACTGCCAGGGCCGGGGCTGCAGGCACTGCCAGGGCTGCACTGCACTCACTGCCAGGGCCGGGGCTGCACTCACTGCCAGGGCTGCACTGCACTCACTGCCAGGGCTGCACTGCACTCACTGCCAGGGCCGGGGCTGCACTCACTGCCAGGGCTGCACTGCACTCACTGCCAGGGCTGCACTGCACTCACTGCCAGGGCCGGGGCTGCACTCACTGCCAGGGCTGCACTGCACTCACTGCCAGGGCTGCACTGCACTCACTGCCAGGGCCGGGGCTGCACTCACTGCCAGGGCCGGGGCTGCACTCACTGACGGTGCCAGCTGCACACAGCGCTCACTCACTCACTCACTCACTCACTCACTCACTGCTGCTGCTGCTCACCTCGGGACCCCCGCTGCTAAAGAACTTCTGCCTTCCCCTCATCACCCCTGGGGTTTGTTCCTTTGGACGGGGTGGATCCGAACTTGGAAATCCCGCACGCATCCAAGACCGTAAACAGGGGGAGGATGAGCGCGGCAGAAAGGAAGTGCAGAATTTCTGCCCCTGCTCTGAGCAGTAACCAACAATAAAGCAGACAAGATGGTAAACATTGCAAAAAGACAATTACTAATAATGAAAAGGCAACAGAAATGTTGGGCTGCTTCCACCAACTGAGTAAGGCGTTTTCAAACTGACAGCAACGTGCTGCCTGCCAAATGAAAATGAGAGCAAACAGCAAAGTTGTGCTTAACCCCTTTTTGCTTTTATGCTGCATTTTAAACCCTGATGAAATCATGGAATTTGAAAGAAAAAGTCTACAAAGGAGACATTTTACTCAGCTCTCCGGTCAGTGTTTCCATCACTTCAGTACCCAGAATGCTCAGAAAAGTTATTCCTCTTGGGTTCTTTCCTCAAAACCCGGTTCTTGAAAGTGTGGGGGGTTTCCAAGAGCAAAACCTGGGCTAGGAGCGCTCGGATTTGGGAGAAAATTAAAGGGGATTCAGGAGCAATGAATCTGAATTGTGACTCCTCCTGCAGAAGGTGAGAGCTGCACGTGTGAGTTAATTGAAGGACAACCTGTAATTGCAGATTGCAAGAGGTCCCTCAGGAGCACCCAGCTCTGGAGTGGCAGCAAGGACTGAGAACTGAAGGCAAAACCCCGGGATCCTGAGCCACACAAGATGATTCCAGTGACTACAAACACCTCCAAATTATCCTCACTCTGGTGCCAGCTAACTCCAGCAGGAACATCCGACATCCAGGTGAGCGTGAGCTCCAGCCCCACACCTTCCCAGGCAGGTGCCTTCCCTTTCCATCCAACCAGCAGCACCACCAATTCAAAACAAATATTTACCCTCTCCTGACAGAGGAATAAAAGGGAACCTTTTCCTGCAAATCCAACCGTGTGCTCTGTTGTTCTTGCAAAGCTTCCGCCGCAAACGGGCTCGTAAATTTTCTTGAAACAGTTAAAAACAAAACACTGACACAAGCAGGTGAGACAAGAACAGAACAGCCCCGACATCCCTGAATCTGGACCAGAAAAGGCATCTCGTGCCCGGAAAGCGCATTGGTTATGCCGGGAATTTCTGCTGATGGGCTTTGCAGAGACATCACCAGCCAAGGGAGGCTTCGGAAGTGCAGCAATTTGCACCTACGACAACCGGAGCGTAACGGGAACAACACCGGCCACGGCGAGCCCGGCAGCTCCCGCTGCACAGCCGGATCAGCGGGGGATGCTCCGGGGGGCTCTGAGCGACCCCAGCCCGCGGCTGCCCCGGCTCAGGAGCCAGGAGCCCCCCGCACACCCCAGCCAAGGACCCGCGACACCTGCTCGGAGCTGCGAGCGAAGCGCAGCCCCCGGCCTGCGCCGGGAGCCGGGGATCCCTCCCGGCGGGGCCGGAGGAACCGGGATCCCCCTCGGAGCCGGAGGAACCGGGATCCTCCTCAGGGCCGGAGGAACCGGGATCCCCCTCGGAGCCGGGCCCGTCCCGGGCTGATGCAATTGGCATCTCCCCTCAGACACCGGCAGAGCATCCGGGATCCCCCTCCCTCCTCCCTGGGGCCTGTCCCGGTGTGAGGAACCGGGACCCCCTCAGCCCCCTGGCAGGGCACACGGGGGTGCCCCCGCCGCAGCCCGGCCCGGCGCAGCCCCCTCCCCGCCGGGCCCGCTCCGGCCGTGCCGTGATGCCGCTGCCCCGACCCTCCGGCGGGCGGCACCGGGGGCCTCCCCCCGCGGCAGGTGCCGGTCTCCGGAGGATGCTGCGGGCCCGGTGGGCCCCGGTGGGCGGCGCGGGCCGGGCCCGGTGCCGCTAAACCGGGGGTGGGGGGGAACGGGGGCCGTGAGGGGGGGGCTGAGGGGGCCTCCCCCCCCCCGCGGGCGCCGCCCGCCCCCGCCAGGGGGCGCTGCCCGCCCCGCCCGCCGCGCGCCGCCGCTGCCCCCGGCCCGAGGGGCTCCGCGGGGGGGGCGCCGCCCCTCACAGCCCCCCCGCCCGCCTCAGCCGGGGGCGGCGGCAGCGAGGCTCACCCGGTGCGCGCGGGTCAGGCTCAGGTCCTTCATGACCTCCTCGAAGGCCGCCGTCTCCTCCGCCTGCTTCTGGTTGTGCAGCGCGATCTTCTCGCTGAATTTCCGCGGGTTGTTCGAGGCCGCCATCTTCCCCCGTCCGCATCCCCCTCCCCGCGGCCGAGGGGGGGCGACGCGCATGCGCCGGCGCAGGGAGGGGGGGCGGCCGCAGGGCGCCTGCGCGGCGGCGGCGGCGGGGCGGGAGGGGGCGGTGAGGGGGCGGAGGTTGCGCATGCGCGGGGCTGGGCGCGCGCGGGAGGGACGGCGCGGGCGGGGGCGCGCGCGCGTGCGCGGGGCCGGGGCTTCCCCCGGGGCGGGGGCGCGCGCGGGGCCCGCACCGGACCCGGTTCTGGTCCTGTCCCGGTCCCCATCGCCGGGGATGGGTCCTGTCCCCATCCCGGTCCCGGTTCTGGTCCTGTCCCCATCCCGATCCTGATCCCGAACCCGGTCCTGTCCCTGTCCCCGGTTCTGGTCCTGTCCTTGTCCCGGTCCTGGTCCTGTCCCCATTCCCGGTCCTGTCCCCATCCCTGGTCCTGTCCCGATCCTGCCCCTATCCTCGTTCCTGTCACTATCCCGGTCCTGTCTCCATCCCCATTCCTGTCCCCATCCCCGTTCCTATCCCCATCCCTATCCCCATCCCTGACACGGTCCCTGTCCCCATCCCAGTCCCTGCCCCTGTTCTTGTGTCTGTCCTAATCCCTATCCCGGACCTTGTTCCTGTCCCCATCCCTATATCCGTCCCTGTCCCCATCCCTGTCCTGGTCCCAGTCCCTGTGTGTCCCAGTTCCCACCCCTGCCCCTCTCCTCGTCCCTGTTCCCTTCTCTGTTCTCTCCCTCTGTCCCTGTTCCATCCCTGTCCCGGTCCCTCCGTGGTGGCCGCTGGGTCTCCTGCTGGAAAATCGACTGTAGTGATGCTCCCACTTCACTGAAATGAGGGAAACCCAGGAGGTGCCCGACTTGGTTCAGCAGGATTTCATGCAAAAATCACCTGTAACTGCAAAAAACCACCCTGAGTTCTCCTCCACTCTTTGATTTATTCCTTTTTAATACCTTCAGGGTGAAAATGGGGCTCTGCCTCCCAGGTGAGGGAGAGAGCAGAGCTGGGATTCGCACCGGGCTGTGAACCAGAGCCAGGAATAATTAACAATTCTCCCAGATAATGAGCGGGGTTTGGGACACGGGGTCCTGCCTTATCGGTGACCCGGGAGCTTCAAAGCACATGAGGAGCGAGTGGGCTTTGATGGCATCCTTGGGGCTCTTCCCGTGGAGCTGTCACCTCCCTGCTGTCACCTCCTGCTGCTGTCACCTCCTGCTGCTGTCTCTGTCCCTGCTGTGTCCCACGGGTCCCTTTGTCATGCCAGGGCTCGGTGCCAGCCTCGGGCAGGGGGATCAGGAGCAGGAGGACCCCGGCCAGACGAAAAGCTGAGCCTGAGGACTAATTAACATTAAAGAGAGAGAATGGATTAACCGGTGGAAGGTGGGGCGTTAACTGATAAAGAATCCGGTGATTTGTAGCCAGGGAGCTGCGATTTCTTTGTTTGCTAAAATCACTCTCGCAGTGTGGAGGTTTGAAACTCCTCGGGTTTGATTTGTGGGAAACTTCTGCAGGAAAAGCTGCGCAGAACAAACTCCTTCCTAAACCGGTCCCCGAGTTTGGAGCGTCCCCAGCCTGTCCCCGCTGCGCTCCCCACCCCGCAGCGGTCACTTTAACACTTGTTTGCTCACTTATTTAGCACTTTTTCGGTCACTTCAACGCTTATTTCCCAGCATTTCCCACCGGGTCCCACAGTTCTCCCGCTGATGGATGGCTCAGCGCTCGCTCCGGGCTCGGCATTAGCCACAAAGTCACGTCCTGCCCTAAATCCCCGCTGCCAACTTGCACTTAACATTTCCAGCAGAGCCGCGATACCATCTCGGGAAGCTCGTCCAGACCTGGCAGGACCAGCCCTTCCTCCTCCCTCCTGGCAGATGCTGCTGCGAGCCCTTCCTCGCCTTTCCCACCAGGAATAAACACCATTTTCCCTAAAACCCCCTCTGGCTGCGTGCGCCAGCGGCACATGACCCGCAAAATTGGCCTGTCATGCTAAAAGCACATCAATCACCGAGATTTACCGGGGAGATACCGATTATCCACATGGTTTTCGCTCCAGGAGCGGGACAATGAGCAATAATTGGTGCAGTTGTCCTGGATTTCATCCCGAGGTGCTGATATCAAACATCTCCAGCCCCAGCTCCCACTCTGCCTCTGCTCCAGCTCCAAAATGAAGTGTCTGAGATGGAGCTTGATAAATTCTCCCTTTTTGGATCTCCCGAGATGGGATCTCCCCTCCTGCTCCCTGGGAAGGAATGCAGATGGAGGCACGGGGAGGGGGCTGCAGCTTCCTCCCCCCAAAACCTCCCTCAATTCTCATTGTTTCCCCGGGCAGCTTTATCAGATCGAATTCCAGCGTGAACCTGGAGCTGCTTCCTGAAAATGCCCGGCTTTGCAGCACAAACTGCAGCACAAACTTCTCTGATTCGGGGCTGCTGGGGCATCCAGCACCCAGAGCTCCGGGTTTTGGGGTGGGGAGGTCCAGGTGAGGGCAGGGAGAGGCTCCGGGGTCTCCTCCTGTCCCCAGGGAATTGTGCCACTCCTTGGACAGGACCAGGAGCCCTTCCCCGAGGGTCATTTCTGCCTCCTGCCTCACCTGGAGCACATCTGGGGCCATCTCTGAGCCCCATCTCACATGAATGGCTCCAGCTCACCTGAACTGAACTGTCCCTTCTCACCAGAACTGAACTGTCCCTTTTCACCTCACCTGAGCTGCCCCACCTCACCTGTACAGCTCCATCTCACCAGAACTGTCCCTTTTCACCTGTACAGCTCCATCTCACCTCACCTGAACTGTCCCTTTTCACCTGAACTGAGCTGCCCCACCTCACCTGAACTGCCCCATCTCACCTGAATGGCTCCAGCTCACCTGAACTGCCCCTTCTCACCAGAACTGAACTGTCCCTTTTCACCTCACCTGAGCTGCCCCTTCTCACCTGTACAGCTCCATCTCACCAGAACTGAACTGTCCCTTTTCACCTGAACTGAGCTGCCCCACCTCACCTGAACTGCCCCATCTCACATGAATGGCTCCAGCTCACCTGAACTGAACTGTCCATTTTCACCTGTACAGCTCCATCTCATCTCACCTGAACTGTCCCTTTTCACCTGAACTGAACTGCCTCATCTCACCTGAACTGCCCCTTCTCACCTGTACAGCTCCATCTCACCTCACCTGAACTGCCCCATCTCACCTGAATGGCTCCAGCTCACCTGAACTGAACTGTCCATTTTCACCTGTACAGCTCCATCTCACCTGAACTGAACTGCTCCATGTCACCTGAATTGAACTGCCCCTGTCCCCAGAACTGCCCCTGTCCCCCCCTGTCCTCAGAACTGCCCCGGAACTGCCCCTCTCCCCAGAACTGCCCCTGTCCCCCCCTGTCCCCAGACCTGCCCCTGTCCCCAGACAGCCGCTCTGGGACCCCCCACTCCTCCTCCTCCCAGCCGTGTTTGGGGAGATTTTGGGATCTGAGGCTCCGGAGCACACCCAGAGCCCCCGGGGCTGCCAGAACGGCTCCCCCCGGGCAGTGAGGAGCTGCTGCTGCTGCTGCTGCTGCTTTTCCCGCTGGGTTTCACCCTCCAGACCCCCCTGCAGACAAACCCCAGCTCCTCCCGGGCAAAATTGACACCAAAGCTTTCCCAGGGAGGTGTGAGGCCGAGGGACCCGGCACCAGGGCAGCCGAGCTTGTGCTGTGATCCTCAAATGAGCTGACTGCTCCTCTTGGTTTGTTTTATTTTTCATTTTTTCGCCTGCAGACACAAAGATTTTGATCTTTCACACTTCCTACTTAATGTTCCTGTTGACATTCCCATTATCCTCGGAGAAGAATATCCTCAGAGTCCCCAGTTGTTTTGAACCGGGCTCCAAACCCCGCTTGGAGTAGGAAAACATTCTCTTGTTTCACTTGGAACTGGCGAAAATTTATTTAATTTGAGATGTCCTTGTTTCCAGAGGGCAAATAAAAGCACCTGAACCACCCTCCCCTCCGAGAGCCCCCAAATCCACTCGCACAGAAGGGTTGGCTCAGCTCCCTGCAATATTCCCTCCAACCTTTGGGAACTTCCAGGGTGGAGCAGGCACAGCTGCTCTGGGGATTCCATCCCAGGCCCTCTCCACCCTCCCAGACAAAGATTTCTTCCCAAAATCCCACCCGGGTCCCCCTCTGACCCCCAGCACTCAGGGCTGACACACAGAGGGCCCCTCTGCCCATCCAGGGGTTAATCCTGCCCCTTTTCCATGGGGAAAACTCAGATTTTCTCCCTGAGAAACCCCAAGCCCGGGCTTTTGGCAGCCTCCCCTCACGTGCAAACCCCAAATCCTGCAAAAGGGAACAGCCCAGGCACGTTACCTGCACCCCAGGGCAACCTTGCTGGGTGAAATTCAAACATTCCAGTGCAATCCAGCTGGAAACCCTGGGGAATCCAGCTGGAGCCTCCCCTGGAGGGGCTGAACGCCAGCCTTGATCTGCCAGGGACTCCCTGTGCACCCTCCAACACCACCCCAGGCCACAGCAGAGAGGGGGCAAAAAAGAACTTTGCATTTACAGCTAAATAATTGCCAGCTCTGTGGGCAGGCCCCGATGAGCAGCCTGGTTACAAACATTCAGCCACATGGAAAATAACTTTTGGTGCAGTTTGCAAAGCGCTGGGACCCAGTTGACCAAAAAAAAGATGAAAAATATGAAAGGATCCATTCTGCTTTAGGTGCTCCTGATGTGGTGTGAGCCCCTTCAAAGGCTCCAGCTGGGCTGAGGGGCGGCCAGCACAGGCTGGGCTGGTGGCCTGCACAAACAACCCCCCAAAAAAACCACATTTTAATTTCTTAAGAAGCCATATAAACCAGTTTGAGCTAATTACAGGGGCCTGGGTGTGAGAGAGCAACTGCAAAGCCTCAGGGACCCGGCCAAGAGGCTTTGATTTCTCTCTCCAGCTTGTAAAACCCTCTGAAAAGTTTTGCCCTGGCAGCTTTTCTGCTTCCAGAGGCCCCCAGAGTGGT